ATTGTGAGTGGTATCGAGATTTTAAATAGGTGTGGACGATAAACCCGATGCCAAATGTGTTGACAATGTTCATAAAATCTAGGATTGAAAGCTATTTTACTCGAATATCTCGTATTGAGAAATTAACATTGTTAATTGTATTCATTTTTATCATCATATTCGTATATAATTGTTATCTTGAATGCTCATCTTGATTATGTCATAACATTTAAACGCTCTGTTGTACATCACGTTAACATTTATATTTGTTCTATCTTCAGGTGTGTATGTGTATGTGTACGCACAGACGCGCGTATCAATGACAATGGCAATGACAATAAACATTTAATACATTCAATATAAGAATGTAATTTTTAACTATTATTAATGAAAATGCCCGTTAAGATGTTTTCTTACTACCTGGTTCATTTTCTTATATTACTAAGATATAGCTTACCTTCGTGTTTCAGGTACTATCTTTGTACCTCCTACTTCTTGCTTAACTTTAAGCCGCAATCAAAATATATAAATTTACTATTTTTTTTAAACAAAATATTAATCTGTACTCTGGATCATGGCAATAATATGCAGTAATTTACTATTTATTAAGATAATTCACATCGAAGAGATTAAAATATTAGCGCGCATTTCTCGTTATCGAGTAATCGAATGTACAAACGATGATTATTATGTGTAAACGTACACATTGCAATTTCGTGCCAATCGCCAAAATAGTTGACTTATACTAAATCTCGTAAAATATTAAATTCCACGATTGTGTATCTATAGTTCCACCTTTTTTTTTTTGTTTTTTTTTCTCTCTTATACATCAACGGAACATAGTTATCATAATGCCATACAATACTGTTTAACAAAATCTACAATAGTGCATATTTAGGGAACATTACCTTTCACCGTGTGCATTTAATTTATACAAGAGGATCGTTATCAAGATCCATTTCTTCTACCGTGATATAAAGTCCTTCTTCCTCATATGTAGACTCATGTTTCGCTAAAACTTTGAGTAACGGCCGCAATTTCATCCACCATTGATATGTAGAAATGCGATGTCTGAAAATTATTATATCAGTAGGAACTTTCGATGGAAACCAACGTCAATGTATTGCTGTTATTTACTCGAAATCCGTAACTTCAAGAAGTTCTGTAAACGGTGTAAATCTGTACTGCCTTCGCACAATACCAATCATCACTGCGCTATCGGCATCCATCGTTGTTATCTTACTATCGGCATTGGTATACTTCTTTAATTGTTCGCTAAACCACTCAACTGCTTTAGAGCCCATTTTTGTGCCCAAATTACGATCAAACGGAGTTGGTGAACCACCTTGCTGCATGTGACCTATAAGAGATTTTCTAACTTGGGATCTATTGTTCATTTAAAATGTAAAATAATATCAATTACCGATACACGTACCAATAATATTCATTCTACAGCTGAACAGACCCTTTCCCTCTTCGCTAAAGAGTCTCTGCATAAAATCTGTATTATAATTCAAGTTAGCATTTTCATTTCTCAAAATGAGACCTCTTTGTACACCTTCAGACATTTTTGCTGCCATTGCAATGACATCTTGATTTAAGTCTTTAATATTGAACTTCTCTTCGAAAATGTATGCTGCATCAGCACCACCAGCCAATCCAGCGACTGTAGCCAAATAACCGCAATATCCACCCATAGTTTCAATAATAAACACTCGGCGTTTTGTGCCTTGTGCCGACTGACGAATGCGATCACAAATCTAGGAATAATACAAATACACTTGACTAATTTTCTATCGGTGGATTTATCATAAAGTATATATATGTATAACGTACAAAATCCTACCTCTGTAATTTCATTTAAAGCAGTGTCACAACCTAATGAAAATTCGGTTCCAGGAACGTTATTGCTGATAGTCGCCGGAATCATAGCAATAGGAATCCGAAATTCTTCAAATTTGTCCCTAGCTTTGAAAAAGGTAAGTCCCGTTTGATAGCCCTTTTTGAAGAACAGCAACAACATGTTATGATAATGAACAAGGTTGTAAGAAAAAGTACGAATACTTTAATCTTACAGAAATCGCGGTTTTCACAGATGCGAAATTTGATTAAAAATATGTTTAAAAAGAATGTGAATCATTGCCAACAAAGAGCAACTGTTACGTAGTAAATCTTTCTTACGTATTTGTATAATTTTTATGCAAAAATTAGTACTGCAATTCGACTCATAACCGAGATCTCCATAGGATTACCCATCTCCATAGAATAAAGAACCATTACCTCGAAACCTCCTACGATAAGTAGAGCTTGAATTCCGTATTCTTTAAGTTTCTGAGCAATTTGAGGTAATTGCTCATCTTTGGGTGGAGCACGTTTAGTTCCTAAATAAGCACCACCTTGTGCTACCCAACCAGTGACAGAAGGCCAATCCATTAATTTGAATTTTCCAGCCATAAGGCCCAGTACTCCATCACAGATTCCATAAACCTAAAACCTTGTAACATAAGATCCTGTGTCACTAATACGTGCTAATTTTTGATCCTACCTTGTCGCCTCGATAAATACAATTCCTAACGAAAGAACGCACCGCAGCATTCATACCGCAAGAAGGTGAACCAATATGCATTACACCTAATGTATAGTGGTCCTGTAACAAAATTTAGTGTTCATATCACGGGATAATTTTACATTAATTCATGCAGCGTGCACATAGAAAACAAATGCATTCTGCAATGTAATGTAATGTTTGAGATCGAGATTGTTACAATGCTTATGCTTTCTTTCATCCTAGTCGAAACATTTATTATAGTTATTTGTTTATATTTATTTAGTAAAAAAAGAAGAAACGAAAAAAAAAATACAGGCAGAGAGGAAACTAAAAATATTATCTAGACTTAGAAATTAGTTAACTCACTTGTCCACATAAAGTGAATTGCTAATATAGAAGGAATAGAGAATGTTAGAATGGCTATTTTATGAGGCATTGAAATTTAATACTCAGCAACAGAGTGTACTCTTATACTTTCTTTTTTTAATATAGATTTACCTTTGTTAATGTGGGGCCATTAATTTCCTGAAGCAGTATTAAATAAAAAATATAATAAAGGCAAATCTCCACTTTTTATATATTCTAGATACCAGAACTAAAAACCTTCTGATATTCTGCATGTTATTTATATGCATTCTCTACACGTTTTTATTATATATTTATTCAACCGATTTAAAATTTAGTACTTTCATAATATTATGTTCAAAAATTTGATAGAAGGCTTCAAGTTCATATTAATTATTATATTATGTAGATAATTGCAATGTACCTTATTGGGATCGTGATCTACAGGTGCTTTTAGACGGGTTAACATTTTGTATGTTTCTAAATTACGAGCAAATCCCCTGAAAATATTTATAAAATGTAATTAAAGTATGATTAAAATACTATCCTAATACAGATTAAAAATCTTAATACTTTAACGTACTTTCCACGAAGTTGAACAGCAAGATCCCAATTTCTATCAGCCATAGCTTGAGCTACTGCTTTAGTACGACGAACGCATTCCATTAGAGGTAATCTAACAGCTTGATTGCCATCCAATGTAACAACACATGCTTCAGTGTCTGGTTTTGCTTCCATCAACGCCATTACAGCTTCTGCTCCCATTCGACAACCCTATAAATTATCACTGAACTAATGTAATACTTTTATTTCTAATGTGATAAAAAAATTTCATGCTATTGCGCGATTATATAATAACTAACCAGAACTCTATCAAAAGCTGATGGATTACCACCTCTTTGAACATGACCAAGAACAGTAACCCTGGTGTCTTGTTGCAATTTTTCTACAACAACTTTATGAACTTTGTCAGCAGTGATCGGTTCGCCGTTCCTATCTACCGCACCTTCTGCCACAATAATAATATTAAGTCGTTGTCCAGTGAGTCTTTCCTAAAAAATATATTTTATAATCTTTATAATTGAGATATATATATATATATGTCATAAATTGGAAGTTACAAAAATAAATACAAAGATTTTTCACAAAGAAATTGACAAAAAGATAAATTATAAGTAACGGAAAAGATAATACAAAAATTTCTATAGTTATTCTTCATAGTTATCCTTATAGTATAGTTATCCTTCATAAACATGCCAAACATTTAATTAGTTAATTTTAGAAATAATTAAACGTGGAACTCATTGAACGAACACATTGTTGTATATCGATAGAATATAAAATAAAATTATGAACAAAGTATAATAAACTTACCGTTACGAACAAATGAACTAAACTAAAATTAATATATCTATAATATTACTCTCCTTACTTAATGAAACAGCAAAAGCATAAATTTAAAAGCAAAAGTTGTTCTATGATATCAGAAGCGATGAAAGATGTAGATAATCTTGTAAAACCGTTTAAAAAATTAAAAAAAAAAAAAAAAAAA